CTGTTGTACAGGCAGCCCTCATTCTGGTGTACAAGCAGCCCTCATTCTGATATACAGGCAACCCTCATTCTGATGTACATGCAGCCCTCATTCTGATATACAGGCAGCCCTCATTCTGATGTACATGCAGCTCTCAATCTGACATTCAGGCAGCACGTTCAGGCGCTACTAAGACTGGTGTCTAGTTTTTGACACTCTTCAGGAAACAATATTTTCGTTTCCCCGTTTCCCACTTTCATGGAGTAGAGAGGAATCATTTTCGACGAATATGGTGATGAGTTATATAGTGGTATGGCGTCAGCAATCCTTCTTAACGATGGTCTGGCCTTATATGAGTCAAACTCTACCTCAATCCACACAATTGAAATTTTTTCAAACTCCAAATATATGCAGCGAGCCACAATTCGGCTCAAAAATAACGTTCACGAGTCAGATTTGCGATATTTCCAATATTCTGAAAACTGAAAATGGGGTTTGGGCAAAATGTGACTCATAGCCGTTTTCACTAATTGGCATATTTCTCGGTATAAAAAGTCGTAATTTCAAACTCAAAATATGTGCAGTGAGCCAGAATTCGGCTCAAAAATAATGCTCATGAGTCAGATTTGTGATATTTCCGAAATTTTGAAAACAGTAGGGGGGATTTGAGTAAAATGTGACTCATAGTTATTTTCAGTAATTGGCATATTTTCAGAATAAAATGTCGTAATTTCAAACTGCAAATATGTGCAGAGAGCCAGAATTTGGCTCCAAAATATGGCTCAGGAGTCACATTTGTGATAATTGGGATATTTTAAAAACTGCAGGGAGGTTTGTATAAAATATAACCCATCGTCGTTTTCAGTAATTGGCATATTTTCGGTAAAAAAGTCGTAATTTGAAAATGAAAATAGGTGCAGAGAGTCAGAATTTTGCTAAAAATGACACTCATGAGTCAAATTTCCGACATTTATTATTATTTTTTGAAAACTTCGGGGGGGGGGGGCAAATTATGACCCATCGTTGTTTTTAGTAATTGGCATATTTCGGTACAAAAATTCGTAATTTATAAATGAAGATAGGTGCAGAGAGTCAGAATTCTGCTCAAAAATTACGCCCAGGAGTCAAATTTCCGACATTTCAGATATTTGGAAAACTGAAGGGGGCGGGGGGGGGGGGGGGGGGGGGAGGGAGGGCAAAATATGACCTATCGCCGTTTTCAGTAATTGGCATATTATCGGTATAAAAAATCGCAATTTGAAAATGAAAATAGGTGAAGAGAGTCAGAATTTGGCTCAAAAATCACGCTCACGAGTTAAATTTCCGACATTTGAAATATTTTGAAAACTACATATGAGTTTGGGGAAAATATGACCCATCGCTGTTTTCAGTAATTGGCATATTATCGGTATAAAAAATCGTAATTTGAAAATGAAAATAGGTGCAGAGAGTCAGAATTTGGCTCAAAAATCACGCTCAGGAGTCAAATTTCCGACATTTAAGATATTTTGAAAACTGCAGGGGGGTTTAAGCAAAATATGACCTATCGCCGTTTTCAGTAATTGGCATATTTTCGGTATAAAAAGTCGTAATTTGAAAATTAAAATAGGTGCAGAGAGTCAGAATTCGGTTCAAAAATTACACTCAGTAGTCAAATTTCCGACATTTTAGATATTTTGAAAACTGCAGTGGGGTTTGGGCAAAAATGACCCATAGCCGTTTTTAGTAATTGGCATGTTTTCGGTACAAAAAGTCGTAATTTGAAAATGAAAATAGGTGCAGAGAGTCAGCATTTTGCTCAAAAACCACGCCCAGGAGTAAAATTTTCGACATTTAAGATAATTTGAAAACTGCAGAGGGGTTTCGTCAAATGTGACCCATCGCCGTTTTCAGTAATTGACATATTTTCGGTACAAAAAGTCGTAATTTGAAAATGAAAATAGGTGTAGAGAGTCTGAATTCGGGTAAAAAATCACGCTCAGGAGTCAAATTTGCGACATTTCAGATATTTTGAAAACTGCAGGGGGGTCTGGGCAAAATATGACCCATCGCCATTTTCAGTATTTGGCATATTTTTGGTATAAAAAGTCGTAATTTGAAAATGAAAATAGGTGCAGAGAGTCAGAATTCGTCTCAAAGAGCACACTCAGGAGTCAAATTTCCGACATTTAGGATATTTTGAAAACTGCAGGGGGGTTTAAGCAAAATATGACCTATCGCCGTTTTCAGTAATTGGCATATTTTCGGTATAAAAAGTAGTAATTTGTAAATGAAAATAAGTGCACAGAGTCAGAATTCGGATCAAAAATTACACTCAGTAGTCACATTTCCGACATTTTAGATATTTTGAAAACTGCAGGGGGGGGGGGGGTTAGGCAAAACATGACCCATCGAAATTTTTAGTAATTGACAATTTTTCGGTATAAAAAGTCGTAATTTGAAAATAAAAATAGGTGCAGAGAGTCAGAATTTGGATAAAAAATTACACTCAGTAGTCAAATTTCCGACATTTCAGACATTTTGAAAACTGCAGGGGGGTTTGGGCAAAATATGACCCATCGCCGTTTTCAGTAATTGGCATATTTTCGGTATAAAAAGTCGTAATTTGAAACTGATAATAGGTGCAGAGAGTCAGAAATCGGCTCAAAAATCACGCTCAGGAGTCAAATTTCCGACATTTTAGACATTTTGAAAACTGCAGGGGGGTTTGGGCAAAATATGACCCATCGCCGTTTTCAGTAATTGGCATTTTTTCGGTATGAAACGTCGTAATTTGAAACTGAAAATAGGTGCATAGAGTCAGGATTCGGCTCAAAAATCACGCTCAGGAGTCAAATTTCCGACATTTCAGACATTTTGAAAACTGCAGGGGGGTTTGGGCAAAATATGACCCATCGCCGTTTACAGTAATTGGCATATTTTCGGTATGAAACGTCGTAATTTGAAGCTGAAAATAGGCGCAGAGAGTCAGAATACGGCTCAAAAATCACGCTCAGGAGTCAAATTTCCGACATTTCAGACATTTTGAAAACTGCAGGGGGGTTTGGGCAAAATATGACACATCGCCGTTTTCAGTAATTGGCATTTTTTCGATATGAAACGTCGTAATTTGAAACTGAAAATAGGTGCAGAGAGTCAGCATTCGGCTCAAAAATCACGCTCAGGAGTCAAATTTCCGACATTTCAGACATTTTGAAAACTGCAGGGGGGTTTGGGCAAAATATGACCCATCGCCGTTTACAGTAATTGGTATATTTTCAGTATGAAAGGTCGTAATTTGAAACTGAAAATAGGCGCAGAGAGTCAGAATTTGGCTCAAAAATCACGCTCAGGAGTCAAATTTCCGACATTTCGGACATTTTGAAAACTGCAGGGGGGTTTGGGCAAAATATGACCCATCGCCGTTTACAGTAATCGCCATATTTTCGGTATGAAACGTCGTAATTTGAAACTGAAAATAGGCGCAGACAGTCAGAATACGGCTCAAAAATCACGCTCAGGAGTCAAATTTCCGACATTTCAGAGATTTTGAAAACTGCAATGGGGTTTGGGCAAAATATGACCCATCGCCGTTTTCAGTAATTGGCATTTTTTCGGTATGAAACTTCGTAATATGAAACTGAAAATAGGTGCAGAGAGTCAGAATACGGCTCAAAAATCACGCTCAGGAGTCAAATTTCCGACATTTCGGACATTTTGAAAACTGCAGGGGTGTTTGGGCAAAATATGACCCATCGCCGTTTACAGTAATTGACATATTTTCGGTATGAAACGTCGTAATTTGAAACGGAAAATAGGTGCAGAGAGCCAGAATTCGGCTCAAAAATCACGCTCAGGAGTCAAATTTCCGACATTTCAGACATTTTGAAAACTGCAGGGGGGTTTGGGCAAAATATGACCCATCGCCGTTTTCAGTAATTGGCATATTTTCGGTATGAAACGTCGTAATTTGAAACTGAAAATAGGTGCAGAGAGTCAGAATTCGGCTCAAAAATCACGCTCAGGAGTCAAATTTCCGACATTTCGGACATTTTGAAAACTGCAGGGGGGTTTGGGCAAAATATGACCTATCGCCGTTTACAGTAATCGGCATATTTTCGGTATGAAACGTCGTAATTTGAAACTGAAAATAGGCGCAGAGAGTCAGAATACGGCTCAAAAATCACGCTCAGGAGTCAAATTTCCGACATTTCAGACATTTTGAAAACTGCAGGGGGGTTTGGGCAAAATATGACCCATCGTTGTTTTCAGTAATTGGCATATTTTCGGTATGA